CTCTGTCTTGGACCTCATTTCTCGAGCCCTGACAGTCGTTTCAACTAGCAGTATGGGCAGATAGTATTGCATAGACATTATTGTGTCCACGGAGAAGAGGCGAGATGTGCCACTGAAACATGTCCACAAAGCGTAATCCTTTCTCAAGGCCGTGCATTATCTTGCAATAATTATAATAATAATCTCACCAGAGGCAGGGAGTGAACAGAACATCCCGGTAGGTCCCTGTTCTCGGTTTTCTGGAAACACAGCCAGACGCGTAGATGAAGAACACTGCAGTATTTATTTTCTGTGTACCTTTGTTGAAGAGAGTCCTTCTTGACTTGGATAATTTGGCCCTCAAAATGTTCTCTTTTCTTTCTTTCCTACCAGGTGACACCGTCCTCAAAGATCGTTGGTGACTTGGCTCAGTTCATGGTGCAAAACAAACTCAGCGCCCAGGACGTGTTAGACCGCGCGGACAAAATATCCTTCCCAAAATCGGTTGTCGAATTCTTCGAAGGCATTATCGGATTCCCTCATGGCGGATTTCCAGAACCCCTTGCTACCAAGGTATGTTTGCCGTCGGGAAACACAGTCATTGTCAATGCTACAATTGACGGTTCTGTGTGCGATGCACCAGTCGACAGCTAGTCAGACTTTTATAATGTTATATTTTTATGTGTACTTATAAATAGTAAGTAATCTGACGTTTTGCACTTATTCATTCAAGGTGCTCAAAGGGAAGAAGCAACTCACGGAGCGAGCTGGCATTTCCATGAAACCCTTGGACTTCAACAAAATTAAATCGGATCTCAAGGCGAAATATTCACGCGACTTCGATGATAAGGAGGTCATCTCGGCAGCTCTCTACCCGAAGGTTAGTTTGCAACTCCTGCTTAGCATATTTTTTCCTCAAATAATCGTAAGTTGGAAAAAACCATGCCTCGACCCTCCTAGCCCGACAAAACCATCCACTAGCCTCAATGACAGTACGTTAGGAGTAGAGGTTTCGACGCAAACGCTTGGCCATATTTTGCAGCCAGTTCATTGCTTGTCTCCTTTTTGCTCTAGGTCTTTGACGACTTCACTGCTTTCCGGGAGAAGTATGGCCCCGTCGACAAACTGGACACTGGAGCCTTCTTCGTCGGACCTAATGTTGGCAAGGAGTTTGATGTGAGTTGGCCAATCGTTGCTTTCTACTGAACGGGCACTTGAAAAAAGCGTTCACATTTTCACATCGACCCCTTTCGAAATATATATTTCTTTAGGTTGAGCTGGAGACCGGAAAGACTCTCACTATCAAGGTCCTTGCTATCGGCGAGATGGGAC